ACCTACAAGCAAGGTTTGTTGTTAATCTTGCATTATATAAACAATGATTCACAGAATCTGCCGATCCTCCAAATTAAAAAGCAAATTCCTAAAGAGTGAGGGGTGTAGTGCAGTTAGCTTGTACAACTGAAGACTGAGTCACAGTATTTCAAGAGCCTAGCACAGTACTGATCATCTGCACACATTTGAATGGAATGAAGAGACATGTTCACATCTTCTCTGACTATTGGTTTCAAATACTAGTGAGTTAGAGACAGTCAGTTACTAGAGCAGGCCGTCTGGCATGAGGGATTTGGGTTATATTGATATTTATCGGTTACTATGACTTCTTTTTTTTCCCCCTCAATTGCATCATACCCTTAAAAAAATGGTGGTAAGTGAGAGATCTGCATGCTTTGGAGTTTGTTAATCTCCGCTTCAGTCTATACGATGCACAGTTCATAATGTTAACACTTTTCTTAAAGTTTCTTCATTCACGTTCACAACTAATTTGGATTTCAGTTTGCTGTTTTTAATCTTGATTTACTCTTAATTTTGTACTTATTTTTCTGTACTTCTGTCCCCCCCGGGGCGATTTTTTCATTAGGGTTTTGGTCTTTTGTCTGTACTGTATTGTACTGTACTGGGGAAGATTTTGTAGCAGTTAAATGGCTGACCAAGAAGCTAGTGACATACAAAGGCATTTTCTTTCATTTTGTTTTATATTGAACCTATAGAATTTAGATGGGTGGTGGGAGGAAGCTATCAGTCTCCAAATTTATGCTTAACTGTAACTATTCTTACAGGCACAGCTCCTATAGTTATTAGATCTTTGCTAGGACAAGACCCACTGGTAGCCTTTGTAAGTCAGAAAAATGTTAGACTAACAAAACTATTCATCTGGAATCTGCATCCATGCTACATGTATTTTAGTTAAGATCACAGAATGGTTACCGTAACAAGAGATGGCTTGCATCCTATTAGTATAGTTTTATGTTTCTGAAGTCTAACAAAACTCCCAGAGATGTTGTTCATTATATTGGTAGAAGGCTGAGATGACAGTCTTGAAGTAGAATGTCTGCTTTCATATGGCATTACTAACCAATACTAATCCTTACAAAAAACAAAACCTAAGGACTCACTGATGTCTGTCCGATTCCATTAAAAGGTTCCCAAATAGTGTGTAGTTTAGTTTGTAGAGTATGTAGCATCATCTGTTTTGAAATCTTTTAGGAATTGAAGATGTTTGTGGAGGCAGGACTTAGTTTTATTCTACTGTGCTTTGTGTTTCAGTTCCTGGATGTGTCTCTGTATATCTCCACTGTATATACAGCACATTGATGTCTGGTTGTCCTTACTAGTCCTAGTTTTCTCTGTACCGTGTCTTGATAGTGTATTGTTGCTAGTGATGGACTTCTGTGGACACTGGTGTATCGCTAGTGTGTTACTTTGGTTGCAAAGCTGTTGGTTTGTGGTTAGTTCTTTATTTTTTTGAAATATTTTTTTGTTCCAGTCACTGTTTGTGCTGGCAGTGGCTTTGCCTATCCGTTGCCTTGAAGGTACAGGTGGAGTAATGTCCTATTTTTGACAGACATTACTCCTAGTGTGTGCTCATGCAGATGCCTACACTGTTAAGACTGTAATTTCCATAACTGCTTCATGTGCACTAAGCCCCCTTGTGGAATCCTGCTGAGAGTTTCTTAAAGGAGTCAGTGAAAAAAATCATCAAACCTTTAAAAAAAAAAAAAAAGTTGAGATGCTTAAAACAATGGATTAGCAATTGCTCCCCAACAGTAGTTCTACAAGGAGCAGTAACACAACTTTGTGGATTAATTTTTATGACACTGTGTACCCAATTACTATTCTCTATAGTGCAGCCTGAGGGCAAAATAAGGCATTTATAAATCCTAAAGAATAAAATGTTAATGAAAGCATATGTTGAAACATCACAAATTATTTGATTTTTTTCCAATTTCTAAATGATATATAACTTTTTCTGGTGTTTTTGCCAAGAGACACAGGCAGATCAGAGCTGTCAGTCTGCTGTAGCTGAAGTCTGTTGTCTCTAGGGGAGTTGCAACACCATTTAACTTTTCCTGGTATTTTACATGAGTCTTGTCCTGATACACACATGCACAGTGCTTGCTGCTATGCAAGGGACTGCACTTGTTTATAACGTCACATTAAAATATTGCTGCTTCTACCTCCCCCAAAACTGGTTCAATGTGAATCTGGAAAAATGGAATATGAAATAGGTTGTATAATCCTTGGGGGAGAAGAGATGGTATATACCTTTTGCGTATATACTGCTACTTGTCCATCAAGAGTTGACAAATGTGTATTTAAAAACAAAGTTAATGCAAGAAAACAAACAGCAGGATTTTACAACTGAAATGTTGGTTTGTCTTCTCATCTAATTTATAAGATTGAACCACTGGAACTTGGGGACAAGATGAGTATGACCATATTGCAACAATCTGTCCGCTACAGTTGCAGTTCTTCATGACGAGCATTCAAAGTGTTAACTCAAACCATTGAAACAACATACTTGCCATTTAAAACTTGAATCCAGAAAAATAACTTCATGAACCTTTGCACTACCAAGTGGAATGGCCTTTAATGCATAATAGATCAATTTGCTGTTCACTGTCGAGCTAGAGTTTAATATAGAACCTGACTGCACTCTTTCCTTCCTTTGTCTTTCATTGGATCACAATGGAACTCTTGCTGCAGACGACGAACCAGCTGGGCCAATGTAAGTACTTTTATCTGAATTTCTTAAGATAGTTTTATCTAGTTCAGTCACTATTACTAAATTTGTAGCCTAAAATTGCTTAGTTGAAGAGCTTGATGGCTTACGGGATTTTGTAGTGCATGAAACCTAAGATTTAGGTATGATAGCAATTACTATTTGTATTGTAGTACTCAGTTTCTGATGGGGATTGGAGTATTGTGCTAGATGGTATTTAAGCAAATAAGAAAATACTTCCTGCCCCAAAGAGCCTGTGGGTTAAGGCCATCTACTTTAGTGTTCCTTCCCAGGCCAGGAAAAGCTATACAAATTCAGGTGGATGTGAGAGGTATGAAGGGCTTAGTCACACAGCTTGACAAATACAGGAAAAATATTTGCAAATATCCTTACTAATAAAACCTGCTGATTTTCACTGGTATTTGTGCCCCCAACGCTTTTTCTTGCTTATTCATGACCATTTGGATGAGGGAGATTATATTTGCAAGAACCTTCCTGCAAAAGCAAGTGTCAGTGGAAGCAAATATTCACAAGATTATTCAAGACAGAAGAGCTCTCCTGGCCCTTACCTTGAATGACTTAGAGAGACATGGTGGGTGAGGTAATATCTTTTATTAGACCAACTTCTGTTGGTGAGGGACAAGCTTGTGTGCTCTGTATAAGCTCGAAAGCTTGTCTCTCTCACCAACAGAAACTGGTCCAATAAAAGGTATTACTTCACCCATCTTGTCTTTGTAATGTTCTGGGACCACCATGGCTACAACACTGCATACTGTAAGTGACTTGTCTCTTAACCACGCTGCTGTTACATTTTCAACAATTTTGATGTGACTTTTTTCCCTCTAAAGGAAAAGCAACTCTACAAACAATCACAAAGATAAAAACTTACGCCAGAGAAACACAAATTAAAAATAATGCGTGTAATGTAAGTATGACTTTAGATGTTTAAAAAATATTCTTACTATTTAAGCACTTCTATTCTTTCAGTAAGGTGTAACTAAAAATGTAAAGAATAATCAAAAAATACTGATCAAACAAGCCATGTGTAGGTATTTCAGTGAATTGCAAAGCTATCTGAAACTGTTTTGAATAAAGCATCATTTCTACTGAACTCTTCCATACACTGCTGAAAAGGATACACTACCCAAGAATTTTTATAAAAGATCCCTGCCATAATAGGTTAGGCACAGTAGTTAGTGCATATTCACAGAACTCTAGTCAAATTCTAACATGATTCTTACCTGTGCAGCACTTACGGCTTCAGCAGCAAAGTAAATCTTAACACAAGCACACCCACCCACCCTGAAGGATAATTTCTGCAGATTTTATACCATAAAAGTGAATTTGCTTGCTAGGTGTAAGCAGTTCTAGGATATGGTATGAAACTGATGTTTTTAGGTTGAATCAAAAATAGACAAGCCTTTATCTTAATAGCAAATCTGACAGCAGTTTTATGATGTGCATTATGGCATACTGTAATCAGGGTGGCATTAATCATTGACTAATACCTTTTGTTCTCAATTCTTTTTTTCCCTACAGAGCTTTAAGTTTCTGAGAGACTGATGGCAATATAACCTGCTAAATTAATGGTTGGAACTCTTGGTTCTAGAACTCCAGTTCTATTTGATTTTTCCTTTCAAGTGAGCAACAATATGACTGTCTATAAAAGCATGCCTTATTTAGCCTGTCCTGTAAGAATGACGTACCCAGACACATTTTAACAATGCTTCAGTGTAGAAGGTGTAAACTATTTTGGGCTTGATGTGCTGTGAATGTTGCTTTTTTCCTTTATGGTATATAAACATTAGAAGTAAGGTCAAATCATGCATGCGCCATTTTTTACTTTCTTAATGTAGCTCTTAAATTGGCAAAGCTCTAAAATGCACTGCTGCCATCTAGTGATAACTTTTTGTAAAGTACAGCAAAACCTAAAAATATATACCGTATATATTTATATTTTTGGGGAAGAGGAAAACCAAAATACAGTAAGTGTTTCATTTTTAAATTGCTGATATTCATTCCTTATATTGTATGTCTGAGAGATGAGAGAATTATACTGTTCTGGTACTTAAAGAGGAGTAATATAAATTGAAATTATTTTAAGGGCTTAACCTATATAGAAAGATTTGGGTGTCCTATAATCAAAGACTTTAAAAGCTGGAACAGTCCAACAAGTGGTGATGAATTGTAGTACAAACTTCAGTTTATAAATATATATGATGGCTTTTTAAGTGATTTTTTTTTGTTTGTTTGTTAAATCATGTAAATTCTCAAATCCTTTTGCACTGATGTGTTCAACATATTCTTGTACATTCAATTCAGGCAACTTTTATAATTTACTTTTTTGTTTTAAATGACGTTGAAATGTTACAGCATGGTGATATTCTATGCAACTAGTAATACTCTTCAGTTTGACACTGTAATTTCTCATGTTGATTTAAAGATTGATTGTAGAATTAGACCTTACAGGGTTCTCATGCCGTGCATAACTGTAGATGCATGAACTTGTGTTCTGTGTATTTGTTGAAGTGCAATGATGTATAAAAAGTGGATTCACCTGTTTTTAAAAATAAAACACTGACCAAAAAAAATCAGATTTTCTCAAATTTGTATCCACTCTACTTGTTATTACCTGAAATACAGAATTAACATTTCCTCAACCTTCTGTCAGTTTTTTCAGCTCCTTCTCCACTTCTTCCACAAATGCTGGGAAATTCTGATCCATGAGACATAGGCGAATAAAAGGTCCTAATTCTTCAGCAGTCCACACGGAATGCTGATATGCAAGGGGGAGCTCAAATGTTGATGATTTCAGCACAGACTGCAAAAGCAAAGGCAAAGGTGATTTTATTTAAGGTGCATTGTCAGTGCAATTGAGTATGTTTTGTAAAGTAGTGTTCATGAGTCCACAGAAATGCTTGTTTTACTACACATGCACGCTAAAAATCTACATGGCACCTGTTCATTACAAGTATAACAGTCCAACTAGGTCAGATCTTTCTTTTATGTTAATTGCTAACACGTTAAAAAAGACAAATCTACTGTTTTTGCTTGCTATGGTCTAACATCTAAATACTAGCCTATTTCAGATGGAGTCACTGTTTTAAAGTATTTTCCAAACAATAGCATTTAATGTATGTTTGACCTCTGCACACAAGAAGAGATATTTGCACCCTTTTCCTTCATGGCTAGTCTTTCTCTGACCTCTTTCCAATCTCTTTTCCCTAAGTCAGGAACTCAGAAATTAGGAAATGCCAGTTTTACAGTTGCAACCTTATTTCCGCCACCTGTATGCCCATCCTGTACACTGAATGAGGCAAGGATTCTATTCTTATCTGTTGCAGAGCTTGCCAGGCCAATTTGTGGCAGCCTCATCAGCAAAGTGCACAGCCTTCAGACCACTATCAAATCTGGTCAGAGAGTAGTCATCAGTGAGGTGTGACATAGTCTGTCTTTGGCCCTAGTTGCATGTGGGGATCCTTGCGCTAGACCTAGCTATGAAGGCTGGCTGCACGTTGACCCTTGCCCCTTCGAAATCGATTCAGAAGTGCCTGTGAGCAGCTTGGTAGGGTCCGTTATAAGAGACTGGTTTCTGATATCAGTTGCAGACCATTCTTCACACTACCTCGATGTTGCAGAGAAATCTGGGCAGGGTAAGTGGGCCCACAAACAGGTGCCTCCATGACTAGTGCACTCCTGGATGGTCAAAGAGGTTGGTGTATACTGATAGGCTCAGGTTTTCCCTGATCTTCTCAATCATTCTGGCTGCAGCATCCTCATAACAGATGTCTGGAGGAGTGATGTTGCTTAACACAGAGAGCCACAGTACTGATGTGGGTCGAATCGTCCCAGTTATGATGCACAGGGTTGAGTGTAGTTGTGTGCCAGCCAATTTGATCTGAGATGAATGGAGCCAGAGTGGAGCGCAGCATTCTGCTGCAGAGGAAGAGAGGGCTAAGATGGATGATCAGAGTTTAAGCGTTTGCTCTCTATAAAGTGCCAGCCAATTTGCTTAGAAGGCTGTTATGCATCCTTACCTTAGCAGCAGTTTTCCTCAGGGGTTTAAGATATGTGAGACATCTATCTAGGTTTACTTTGAAGTAGAGTGAGTGGGATTCATGTTTCAGGTGAGGTCCACTGAGAAAGATATTTAGTTCCTGGCCTGCTCTGGTGTTGTAAACATGGAATACACTCAAAACTGTTCTGCTCACACTGAGTTGTAAATGCCACCGACTACTATCTTGCCATCTTAAGTCAGCATTTAGGGCATCTTCGAGTTCTGGAAATGATCTTGCTTGGATGCCTAAGCAAATGCCTTCATCTGCATACAGGAGCACACAGTACTGGGTGAGTGGAATGTCATTCATGTACAGTTTGAAAAGCGTTGGTGCCAGCACACAGCCTTGAGGTACGACCATTGGTTTGTCTTTTCCATGTGATAACTCTATCTCCCATGTGCATTCGGAAACATCTGTTGCAGAGGTCAGTGATGTTGATTATCCATGCTGGCAGTGCTCTTGATAATTTGACTAAGATTAGTGGCTCTCAACCTTTCCAGACTACCGTACCCTTTTCAGGAGTCTGATTTGTCTTGTATACCCCTAAGTTACAACTCACTTAAAAATTACTTGCTTACAAAATCAGACATAAAAATATAGAAGTGTCACAGAACCCTATGACTGAAAAAATTGTTTACTCATTTTTACCATATAAATATTGTACTTACATTTCAGTGTATGGTATATAGAGCAGTATAAACAAGTCATTGTCTGTATAAAATTTTAGTTTGTACCGACTTCACCGTTGCTTTTTCTGTAGCCTGTTGTAAAACTAGGCAAATATCTAGATTCACCCCTTGGAAAACTGCTGTGTACCCCAGGGGGAACGTGTACCCCTGGTTGATAACCACTGTGCCAGACCATGTCATATGCTGCTGTCAGGTCCAGAAATATAGCTCCCGTCTTTGGGTTTTTTCTGAAAACCATTTTTAATTAATGTTTTCAAAGCTAGCACTTGATCACAGGTACTTCAAACTCTCTGAAAACTTGCTTGCTTGACACAGAGTATTGACTCCACAAGGAGTCTATGGATTCTAGATTGTATGGGGGGAAAAAAGTCTAATTACATGATTCTGTACTATCAGTACATGTGTACAAGGGTGTAAGATGAAGGCTGCCTGGCAAGCCATAAATCTGGCATTTCCTAGCCTTTGAGTGCTTGACTCTGCAGCCTAAATAATATCTCAACAGCTTTTTTTTTTTTAAGGTAACTTTTCTTTTAAAAAAGCCTAGCACAATTTACAATAATAATAATAATGCCAAACAAAAAAATCATATAACAGCAATAGTATTACACAGCTGGCAGCAGAAGGCGACTGCTATTCCTGGAAGGGTCCAGAAGGGAAAAAATCAGCAACTGGCACTATGTGCTGCATTGGAGGGCACTGGCCCACCTCCCTCCAGCAGGAGGTGGGGGCTCCTGTCCCATGTGGTGATGCCAGAGGGGAGTGTGAGGCCATGTGTCAGGTCTAGGGAGCGGTATGGAGGAGGCAGCTCCCAGGATTCCCTGTGCTCTTACTATTTTGGCAGCAGCTGTTTTAAAACGTTCATGTTCAATTATTTTGGGATGCTGACAAAACTTCCTGAGGAACGCAAGTCACTGTGGGGGAAATGGCAATTTGACCATTTACATCTCAACCAAATGGGAACAGATTTTCCTGGGGCAAAGAAAAGACACTTCTGACACCAGAGCTTTCTAAACTGTAAGTGCCTGCTGCAAACAATACAGGTGCTAGAGCTTTGCAAGCATCTTTTATAATGGACAATATTATGCAACCTAAATACCAGGGTCACTGCCAGCATCCTCTCTAATGAAGAAAGGACAGGCAGGGGGAAAAAAAGGGTTGTGTTGTATTATTTATACACCAGGAACGTATACGCTTGTTCTGAGTTCCAGATGGAGGTAAGAGGCAGACAACTTGAAAGCCTGTGGGTGAAGATAAAAGGGTGGAAGGTGGTGGATGAGGCATTTCTAGAACAAATACAGAAATAGCCAAAACCCAAGAGTTGCTAGCCAAGGGGGATTTTACCCCAACAGCTGTTTGACCAGTAATAATGCAAAACACAAAATGTCCAGTAAGTTCTTGGAATGTACTGGGGATGACTTGTTTCAGAAGGTGAGGGAGGCAGCCATTTTATACTTGATTGTGACTAACGGGGGAATTGGTTGCAAATCTGAAGGTAGGAGGCAACTTGGGTGAAAGTGATCATGAAATGATATAATAATGTAATCTAAGAAAGGAAGGAGAGAAGATAGAAAAATAAAAAGGCAGAGACTTCAAAAAAGCAGACTTGAATAAACTCAGACCTGGTAGGTAAGGTCCCATAGGAAGCAAATCTAAAGGGAAAAAGGAGGCAAATCTAAAGGGAAAAAGGAGTTCAGGAGAGCTGGCTGTTTCCCAAAGAGATATTAAAAGCACAAAAGCAATGTATCCTGATGCAAAGAAGAATAAGAGGCCTTTATGACTCTGTCAGGTCATTAAAGAGCTCCTGATGATCAAAGAGGAATCTTACAAAATGTGGAACTATGGATGAATTGCTAAGGATGAATACAAAAGAACAGCACAAGTATGTAGGGACTAAATCAAAAAGTCTAAGGCACAAAATGAGTTACACTCAAAAGAGACATAAAAGGTAATATGAGGTTCTATAAATATATTAGGAGCAAGAGCCAAAGGAAAGTGCAGATCTACTACTTAATAGGGAAGGACAGCTAATAACATATTATCAAGGAAGCTCAAGTGTTTAATGCCTATTTTGCTTCAGTCTCCACTGAAAATATTGTGACCAGATGCTTAACACAATTAATAGTAATAACAAGGGGGGAGGATTATGAGCTAAAATAGGGGGAAAAACAGGTTAAATATTTACCCTAATGTACTTACAGAACTAGGTGAAGCAATCTTTAAAAAGGGGAACAAAAGGGACCTGGGGAATTAGACCAGTCAGCCCAACTCTGATATCTGTAAAGGCACTGGAACAAATTACTAAACAAACTGTTTGCATGCACCTAAAGGATAACAGGGTTATAAGTAATAGCCAACATGGATTTGTCAAGAACCAGTCATGCCAAACAAACCTAATTTCCTTCTTTGACATGGTTACTGGCATAGTGGATGGGGGGAAGCAGTAGACATGACACCTTGATTTTAATAAGGCTTTTTAGACCCAGGCCCACATGGCATTTTCATAAGCAAACTAGGGAAATGTAGTCTAGATCAGCGGTTCTCAAACTATGGGGCAGGCCTTCCACGGGAGGCGCAAGCTGTGTACTTTGTCGACCTTGAGTGGCTGGAGCTTGTGCAGAAAGACATGCATACGCAGGAAGTGGGGATAAAGGGACAGCCAGAGCCCCACCACCTGGGCTCGGGCTTTTCTTCCCCTGCCCCCACCTCAACCCCTCACCTGGAGGCAGCGGGGTGGCAGGAGCAGTGCAGAAGTAAGGGTGGTAATGGGGTGCTAAGTTTGCTGTGAAAAGTGATATTGACAAATATCACTTTTCACATTGCCACCCTTGTTTCTGTGCTGTTTCTGGTATGGCACTGCCTTCAGAGCTGGGTGAAGGTATATATACTTGGGATGGGGTGTGTACATGACTACAGACACACAGAAGGAAAGCCCGGTCAAATAAGTTTGAGAACCATTGGTCTAGATGAAATTACTATAAGGTGGCTACATAACTAGTTGAAAGACCATATTCAAATAACGGTTATCAATGTTTGTGTTCAAACGAGGAGGATGTATCTAGTGGGGTCCTTCTGGA